AAAAAAAAAAAAACACGACTCTGTCATCAAGGTGTGGTCAAACCCTGACACTACAACCTCCAGTACACTAGGTGGCGGTATTCTCCTAAAAAATGTTGTGTTCCTTTTAAAGAAAGGAACTCTTGACCAGTATACAGTACTGTAGTACTAATAAAGTACCACTGTACTCGGTCCAAAAAAAAAACATTGCGATAAAATCGAATCATGAAAAAACAACAAGTATTATATGTATTACTACATCCCCTAGATACTACATAAAGTACTGCAGTTTTACGTGAAGTTTCCTCCTCAAACGTCTTCTAATCCGGACACATATATTTGACAACAGCTCAGAGGTCACGAGAGGTCAACCCCCGGGTCGAGAAGGAAGACGACGAAGACAGAGGGGGAAACGACAGACGTTCATTCCAGAGTACTGCAGTACTGCAGTACGTGTACGTGTGGCACATACTTATTTTACTTCCGTTAACATAACCTGGTCTGTTTCCCTTCTTGTCCCACAGCTCACGGATTCCTTTCACAACCTCCAGGGGCCAGTAATGAGAGGCTTTGGCCAAAACCTGCAGGCCTGGAGACAGAGGACAGAGGAGAGAGGAGAGCGTTCTTCACTCAGGACCGCGACCCCAAGTTTGAGAAACAATAGAGTTTTCTATTGTACATCAGGAACGACAGTGAGGACGCCCACAGAAACACGGTACACATTACTGGGAAATATATGAAAGATATTTTTTTTTTAAATAAAAACCTAATCAGCACAGTGTATAGTATACGGCTTTATGACTAAATATATCACTGAATATATGACTAAATATATATGACTAAATATGTAACAAAATATATGACTAAATATATAACTAAATATAAGACTAAATACATGACGAAATATAAGACTAAATATATGACTAAGTATATTACTAAATATATGACTAAATATAAGACTAAATACATGACTAAATATATGACTAAATATATAAGTAGATCCATCCATCCATCATCGACCGCTGAACTAGCTAAATATATGACTAAATATACAACTAAATCCATCCATCCATCATCGACCGCTGAACCAGCTAAATATATGACTAAATATATAACAAAATATATGACTAAATATATAACTAAATATATAACTAAATCCATCCATCATCGACCGCTCAACTAACTAAATGTATGACTAAATATATAACTAAATATTTGACTAAATATATAACAAAATATATATCTAAATATATGACTAAACATATAACTAAATCCATCCATCATCGACCGCTTAACTATCTAAATATATGACTAAATATATAACTAAATATAAGACTAAATATATGACTAAATATATTAGTAAATCCATCATCGACCACTTAACTAGCTAAATATATGACTAAATATAAGACTAAATATACGACTAAATCCATCCATCCATCCATCATCGACCGCTTAACTAACTAAATATATGACTAAATACAAGACTAAATATATGACTCAATATATAGCATATATTTAGTCGGCGTCTCCGCGAGCTTCGCTGCAGTTTGACTTTTTTTTTTTTTTTTTCCAACCTCACTCGCAGAGGAACGCGTTCAAACAAAAGGACCAGGGTTCGATCCCCCCCGGGGTCCAGCAGGAGATGAAAAATACACATATTTATATTTGACAAATATATTTTTAAACTCGTCCTCAGAACATTTTTTTTTACTCGGGACGTGGACCACGTCACTGTGCCCAGTCCGTTTTGGTACGTGTTTTGAAAACCCAGAACTAAACTCCGTACCTGGGTGCTTCGTGGGTTCCGCCACTTGAGCGCAGACCTGGGGACAGAACGAACAGCGTAAGTCAAGGCTACGTCATACGACGTCAAGTTAAAGTTCGTTGTTGTTTTTTTCTCTCTCTCTCACCTTCAGACAACAGACCAACACTGACAGAAGATACAACTGGAAACTCAACTCCATTTCTCTGGGGGGGAAAAAAAAAAAGTACCGTGACTTTTAACGCGATAATTTAATCCCGATGTCAAACCGGATCCAGGAGTCGGTCATGGAGTCGGTCCAGAACCTACCAGCCGCCGTCAGTCACTCACTCACTGCGGGCCGCGGGAGCCGCACGTCTCCATGATGGAAGTCCGACTCCGAGTCTCTGCGTCCGCATCTGAAAAGTTCCAGAGGAGAAGCTCCGCCGCTGGGACCCAACGTGGGGGGAAAAAAACGTCAGCTGTGACGTCACGTTTGGATGCTCCGAGGTGGGGCGTCGGAGGTGCTGGACGGTGATTGGACGATGACTTATTCAGTACTAAAAGTTTAAAGAGATTTGAATGAAAAACAAAAACAAAACGATGGTCCAAAAGTCGATCATTTAAACCAGTAGGGGGGGTGTGGCCTAGGACTGGAGCGTGACGTCATACAACCCGCATGGTCCACCCCAGCGACGACAACATGGAGATGGACCGTCTACTGGACGGACAGAACCGATCTTCTCCTCCTCCTCCCCCCTCTGGTCACCGATGGGATACCAGGTGAGTAAAACATGTAAGGGTGAACAGCACCATCTTGTGGCCACGTACCGCCACAGACAGCTTTGTTATTGGTTATGTTGCATATTAAATGTTTTATATGGAAACATATGTGTATATATATATATTTAAAAATATATATTTATATAGATATATTTAGATCGATTTTACGGTGAGAAAATCGATGAGAAATATAAAAAATATATAAAAAAAAATATATATAAACACAACCATCCATCCATCATTAACCACTTAACTAACTAAATATATGGCTAAATATATAACAAAATATTTGACTAAATATATAACAAAATATATGACTAAATATATAACTAAATCCAT